GGATACTTTTGTCTATTTTGCTTTTAAAAAAAAGAGATAGGGGGGGGGATAGTTTAGTCTATTCTGCTTATTTCCCAGCCTGAACTGTGATTGTGTCAACGAACTTCTCTCTGCTCCAGCCTCGCTGGTTGGCGGGTGCTCTGGGGTGGTTTGTTCTTTCTTTCCTATCGCGTATCTGTCATTCTCGTTTCTCCTCCATTGTATGTTGCCCTCTAGTTACAGCTGTTTTATCTTCGCTTGTATATGCCCCTATTTTTGTTGCAAGTGCAGTAAAACTTGTACTAAATTTCAACTGTTTCCTCAGACTCCTTCAAACTGAGTCGGAGGACCATATCCCATCTTGTCGTGTGTTCCCAGAAGATGCAGCTGCTGGTCATCCTCATCTCTTGTCCATTTGTCTCTCTGCTGCTCTCTAGTAACACCTCTAATTTTCAGCACCTATTTGACCTAATTTTTTTTGCTAGTGCAGTAAAACTGACTAAATCACAACTTTTACCTCAAACTCCCTCAAACTTACGACCGTGTCCCATGTTGTCGTGTTTCCGCAGAAGATGCAGCTGCTGAAGCTGCGAGTGCCGGCCCAGTTCATGCTGGTGGCGCTGGACGAGGGCCCCGGGCCGCCCATCAAATACCAGCACGCCGAGCTCAGCAAGCTCTACTCCGTGGTCAGTCAGCTGGTGCGCTGCTGTGACGTGTCGCAGCGATGTCACTCCTCTATCTCTGTAAGTCTCCCGGACTTGTGTGTGTGTGTCGTGTGTCTGTGTCGTGTGTCTGTGTCGTGTGTCTGTGTCGTGTGTGTTGGGGGGTACCAGCATGCTGAGCTCAGCAAGCTCTACTCTGTGGTCAGTCAGCTGGTGCGCTGTTGTGATGTGTCGCAGCGATGTCACTCCTCTATCTCTGTAGGTCTCCCAGACTTGCGTGTCTGTGTCGTGTGTGTGCGGAGGATGTACCAGCACGCTCAGCTGAGCAAGCTCTACTCCGTGGTCAGTCAGCTGGTGCGCTGTTGTGATGTGTCGCAGCAATGTCACTCCTCTATCTCTGTCTCTGTAAGTCTCCAAAGGCTGGTGTGTGTCATGTGTGTGTGCGTCGTGTGTGTGTGTGTTGGGGGTACCAGCAAGGTCTACTCTGTGGTCAGTCAGCTGGTGCGCTGTTGTGACGTGTCGCGGCGATGTCACCCCTCTATCTCTGTAAGTCTCCCAGGCTTGTGTGTGGGTGTGTTTTGTGTGTGTGGGGGGGTACCAGCACATTCCCTGTACTCACACAAACTCTCGCTGTCGTTCCCCCCCCCCTGGGCCAGCCCCTGCTGCCCAACCCTCACGGCGTCCCGCTGTGTGGCAAGCCCCCCATGACGTTACTACTCACACACACACACACACACACGCACACACACACACGCACACACACGCCCCTTCCCTTTACTCACACAAACTCTCGTTGTCCCCCCAGGGCCAGCTCCCGCTGCCCAACCCTCACGGGGACCCACTGTGTGGCAAGCCCCTCATGGCCTTACTACTCACACAAACTCTCGTTGTCTCTCTCTCCCCCCTAGGGCCAACCCCCGCTGCCCAACCCTCATGGGGACCCACTGTGTGGCAAGCCCCTCATGACCATCCAGGCACAGGTGGCCGAGGTTCTGTACGGCCGCAACGTCTACGTCAAGAAGATCATCGAGGAAGCCAACACGGTGGACGAGACCGCCAAACTTTTGAAAGTAAGATACAGTATACTTGTATATATGGTCGCTTTTAAGCACAAGGGGGCTATCCCGAAAAATGCTGTTTTAAGAAAATGGAAGGTAAAGTTTTTGGACCCTTGTTCAGTTTCTCCAAAAGACAAGGAGAGATTTCTCTATAACCAAACTAATATTGACACCAATGAAGCCAAACTTCTCCTACAGGTAGGGCAATGCTCACTTTTGGTGTAGGTCAAGATTTCTGGAAACCCCTGAAATCTGGGTTAGCCCGCTTGTCTTAAACACTTTGCCGCCTCATCTCGCAGATTGGCGATGTTTACCACCCAGTTTCTTTGGATCTTCCCTAAAATATGATGGCAAAGTGTTGAAAGCGACCAATACAGTGGAGTGCCTCTTTTTAATTGGGTGGTGGATGTTTGTTTGTTTGGATGAGGTAATAATAATAATAATAATAGATGATAATAGCATTTGTATAGCACAAATTCCCCCTCAATGGCAAGCTCTGTGGGCTTTACAATCTTTCTTATTACCCCAACAGACCTGATAGCATTCTGAAACAACCTCAACTTCCATGAAAGCATGCACTGCAAACAAGTTGTGATGCTTTTGTGTTCATTGTGGTTGAAAATCTGGTGAACTCGGTTTTTTGTTTCTTGAGCGATGCTAGCAAAGCAAAATCATTCTTTTTTTCTCTGTTTGACTGTCTCTCTGTTTTGTGTTCCAGTATTGCTCATGGGAAAACCCCCACTTCTCCTTTGTGGTGCTCGGGGAGCTGTTGTGGCAGGTGAGTCTTGTGTGTGGGTGGTTGGCGGGTGTTCTGCTGTGGTTTGCTTCTTCTTTCCTGTCAAACATATATCGTCCTTATCTCTCCTCCTTTTTTTTTGTGTTGGTTACTCTCTTGTAACTCATAATCTATTCTTTGGCACTTAAAGGACCTTATTGTGGTGCAATTTTTATTGAATTTTTTTTTTTTGGGGGGGGGGGCGTTAAACCTCATCCATTTCATTAAAGAATACATTTAAGGGTGAATTTCACTGAAAATGTTGTTGAAGGCTACTAACTTTACTCTTCCGATTGCTGATTTGGCAAGAATTGAAAGGTTTTTATTAGCTGCCTCGAGATTTTGTATAGCAAATACAAGTATTCCAACTGTGGTGGCCATTTTCTCGCTAATTTCTCCAGTAATCCCAGGTGACACCCATCTTCTTTACTTGCACCGATCTATGCAGGATGGAGCCATTTTTTTTTCCAATTTCATAAAAAAACAACAACCAGACAGTAGAATTGTAAATGGGCTGATTTATCAATGTCATGCTCATACTGTGCCGGAACAACATAGGGGGAACTGCTGCTTTTTCTTTCCTCATCCTTACTATCGTTATTTTTTCCTCTCTTTTGTATGTTTGTCACTCTCCTGTGAATTGCTATTTCCGGGGTGCCTTGATAGTCGAAGCAAACTTTGTGCTGTTGAAACTAGAGAGGTGAGCAGAGAAAGCCTGATTCCCCGTTTGGACTTCTCTGTTGACACCCACCCCTTGGCGCTCTTATTATGACCTTATGCAGTTGCGAGCGCCGTAAAACCCTTTACTATAATTTTAAAAAACCTCTCTTGTAACACCTCTAATCTTCGGCACTTATATGACCTTATTGTGTTGCAAGTGCCGTTAAACTCTTACGAAAGCTAGAAACCACCCCTTGGTGCTCATATGACCTTATGCAGTTGCGAGCCCCATAAAACACTTATTAAAACTTAAAAGCTAAAAGTTTGAACCTGACAGCATAACTCTATATCTGTGACCAGGTGGCGTATTCGTACACATACGAGCTGCGTCCCCACATGGACCTGCTGCTACAGATGTTGTTGTTGGAGGACTCGTGGCAGACGCACCGCATCCACAACGCGCTCAAGGGCATCCCGGATGAGCGAGACGGCCTCTTCGACACCATCCAGCGGTCCAAGAACCACTACCAGAAGCGAGCCTACCAGTGCATCAAGCTGATGGTGTCCCTGTTCACACAGTGAGTCTTTCCCCGGGAACGTGTGTGTGTGTGTGTTTAAGAGTCTTTCCTCGGGGGGGGGGGGGATGGAGGTTAGGGTTTAGAGGTTAGGGATAGTGTTGGAGATTAGGGATAGGGTTTAGAGGTTAGGGTTAGGGGTTAGGGACAGGTGCAATTTAGTGGATTCAGTAGATTCTTTAGAAAATTCTTGTTTTTGGTCATGGAAGGGTTGCCACTATACAAATGCTATCTATTATTATCTACTAGCTGGGCCCCCTTTCGATGAAAGGAATAATCGGTGCATTAACGTCAACTGAAAGTCATTGGCCATCTATAGTTACACTCTACTGGAATGGAGCAATAAATCTTGAGAGATGCAAAAAATTAGAAGGTCTAGATCTATACTCTCAAAACAAAATGCGCCTCGCGAAATATCACTTCCGGCACTTCCGTTGTGGAGAGCAGCTACACAGATTTGGTTTCGTTTCTCACTGGAATAATCACAAAGGCCAAAGAAGGACAGGAACTTTTTGTCAAATATATTTTTCTAAATTCAGGAAATGAATAAATCAAAAAATCGGGCTGCGTCATGGGGACCCATCTATCTTTTTGCAGGTACTTGCCAACTTTCAACTCTGTAACTGTCGTAGTTTTATGGGAAAAGTGACACATGTGTTTCCAAGTTGCCAAATGTATAATAGATTATTTTTATGACCTCATTACCCAACCACCTTGTGTTGTCCACAGCTGTGCCCCAGCGGCCACCATCCTGCAGACAAACGGAGACATCAAACGCAAGTGGTCCTGGGCCATCGACTGGCTCAACGACGAGATGGAGAGGGTGAGTGGGGTTGGTTGGCGGGTGCTCTGGTGGGGTTTGCTGCTTCTTCCAATCAAACATCTATCTGTGGGTGGTAGGCGGGTGTTCTGGTGTGTTTTGCTGCTTCTTTCCAATCAAACATCTATCGTCTTTATCTCTCCCCCCTTTTTTTTGTGTTTGTTACTTTCTTGTAACACCTCTAATCTTCAGCACTTATATGACCTTATTGTGTTGCAAGTGCCGTAAAACTCTTACTAAAACTAAAGATGATAGGAAGATAGATGTCACAGGCAAATGCTACTTTCCTCTTCTCTCCCTCTCTTCTGTCCGTCCGTCATACTTTTTTTCCCTGCTTGTTTTCTTCCCAACGCTTTGTTTGTCTGTCTGTCTGTCTCTCTGTCTGTCTCTCTGTCTGTCTGTCTTACTTTCACCTGAACAGACAATGGGAGGTTGGGGGCACAGAGGTGTCAACTGGTTTCATGGAATTTGAAAAACGTCAAATACACGAGTTTGTTGGTGGTTGGCGGGTGCTCTAGTGAGGTTTGCTTCTTCTTTCCTATCAAACATCTATCGTCTTTATCTCTCCTCCTTCTTTTTTGTGTTTGTTACTCTCTTGTAACACCTCTAATCTTCGGCACTTATATGACTTTATTGTTTTGCAAGTGCTGTAAAAACTTTAACTAGAACTTTAAAAAATCTTAACTAAAAAAAAAGTGAAGACAACGTTGATTGTAATTGTCGGCGTCTGTCTGTGTGTCCCCAGCGGTCGTACCCGTGCAACACGCAGTACACAGCCTACAACAACTGGTCGCCCCCGGCACAGTCCAATGAAACCAGCAACGGGTATGTACGGGTCACGGGTCTGACAGTGTGTGTGTGTGTGTGTGTCACAGTCTGACTGTGTGTGTGTGTGTGTCATCGCTGTGTGGGATACATTTTGTGTGTGTGTGGGTCACAGTCTGACTGTGTGTGTCAGTGTACGTGTCACAGTCTGACTGTGTGTGTCTGTGTACGTGTCACAGTCTGATTGTGTGTGGGTGTTTGTCACAGTCTGACTGTGTGTGGGTGTTTGTCACAGTCTGACTGTGGGTGTTTGTCACAGTCTGACTGTGTGTGTCTGTGTACGTGTCACAGTCTGACTGTGTGTGTGTGTGTGTGTGTCACAGTCTGACTGTGTGTGTGTGTCACAGTCTGACTGTGTGTATGTGTGTGTGTCACAGTCTGACTGTGGGTGTCTGTGTACGTGTCACAGTCTGACAGTGTGTGTCTGTGTACGTGTCACAGTCTGACTGTGTGTGGGTGTTTGTCATCGCTGTGTGGGATCAGTTTTGTGTGTGGTTTTTTTGTGGTCAGTGCAGTTGGTACAACCAAAACTGAGTCGATTGTGAGGTAAAACACCTACTCAAAGAAAAAAACAAAAGTGCAATTGGTGCTTCTTTTTTTTTGGGGGGGGGGGGGATTGCCCAACTGCCACATGAGTCTGCCTGTGGGTGGTTGGCGGGTGCTCCCTTCTTTCCTATCAAACAAAACACTCAAACTACAAGTCTACATTGTGTGCGTGTGTTTCCTCCTCAGGTATTTCCTGGAGAGGTCGCAGAGTGCTCGCATGACCTTGGCCAAGGCTTACGAACTGTGCCCGGACGATGTAAGAACTGTTTCTTTTTCCTGTGTTGACTATTTTTAAAAAGTTGTAAAGCGCATAGAATATGCTGTAGAGCGTGGATATGCGCTATATAAATTCAATAATTATAATTTTTATTAGAGTTTCCTGATGATCTTTTGAATTGGAAGCATTTATGTTTTCTACACCAGTTGTCCAATGGCCGTGCTAGTCTGCCGTTATCAGTGCTAACTTTTAATTGATTTTAAATAATCCATGGGCGACACTAAGGTATAAGTACAGCCATAGCAGATCATTTACTTTACAACTTCCCAGCATTTTGATTAGATGAGCAACTTACTTAACCCTATCCGTACGCCCAGGGGTCATTTTGTACCCCCGGGGTAAATTCTTCACATTTTAGAATACTTCTAGCAGGAAGATCTCTTTGAAACTTTCTGTATTTCTCAAAAAATAATTTTGACAGACTGCTATGCGAAGCGTACGGATCAGACTAACGAGTAAATTTCCTCTTTGAAAGTGGTGGCACAGAGTTCCCACGTCTTATGAATATGATAGTAAAGCACGGCGTACGGATAGGGTTAAACGCCAGCTTTACTGGTGATAACGATCATGCGGAAATTGGCGAGAAGAAATATGAGCACAACAATAATTGGCTATGGAATTGGTGGGAACAAAGACGACAACAAAGCCATGACGCTGACAGACACAAGACTGTCTGTGACAGCTCAGAAAGCAAATATGTGGGGCAGCGTGGTGAAATCAGACGCTCGGCAAAATAATCAAAGTGAAGAAAGTGGCATTTTTCACCACAGGTTTGTGAGTTTTTATAGATTTGTTTTTTGTTTTTTGGCTCAACACTTTTTATTCCCATCAAAGAACACTTTTCTCTCTAGTTTTTACTGAAAAACATTGATTAAAGGCACAAAAATTGTAAATGTTCGGTTTCCACGGACTGTGAAGCTAAGGAAATAACTACTCTATGGCGGCCATCTTCTCGCTAATTGTACCTCTGAAACCAGATGACCCCCATCTCCTTCATTGGCAAATACCTTGACTTATATTCAAGATAAATAGATATTTTTTATTCCAAAAGAAGACAAATAGACAAGCTTTAAGATGATACCAATAACTCTACATGCCCAGAAATTGACGAGAGCCTGGTTCCACCGCGTCTTGACACACATATATGGATAATGGTATAGTAATGGTGACTTTTTCTGTGTTTCCAGGAACAGGAAGAGACGGAGATAGCGGAGGATCAAGACATCCATGGTCCGGATGAGATGGGCGGACACCTCTCCTACAAGGTGCAGCCCTCCCACACGGACTACCCCGGCCCGCCCGCCTCGGGCCCGTCCAGCTCCTCCCAGCACCAGGGTGGTGGGGGCCCGGCCGCTGTGCCCAGCAGCACCTCCCCGCCTCAGCCGCAGCACCAGCAGCAGCAGCAGCAGCCCCCGTCAGCCGTGGTAAGCCCCCAGCCTCAGTCATCCCCAGCGAGCAGTGTGAGCGCCCAGCAGCAGAACCTCAACAAGAACTGTGATATCTCCCTGGGCTCCACCTCCTCCTCCTCCCCCGCGGCCAACAACACCGCCACCACGGGCAAACAACAGACCTCGCCTCCCACCCCTGCCAACAACAACAACAACAACAACAATAACAACAACAGCAACAACACAAACGGCAACAACAACACGGGAGGCGGTGTCGTGAAAGGCCCCGCTGCACCCTCCTCCTCCCCCTCCCCCTCC